TTGTGTCCCTGCCCCGGGCCGGCCGGGTTGGTGCTTCAGTGCGGTGGTAACGTCCGCTTCTGACTCTCTTTCGGCGGCAGGACCGCGTTCCAGCGTGCCGAGGAGGCTTAGGTCTTCGGCTTTGTAAGTACGGGAAGGTTTTTCTTGTTCTTAATGGGTCTTTCTTAAACCCTTTCAAGTTTTTAAGAAACGGGGGAACTCTGTAGCTGGTTCACTCAGATTATAATTGTAAACCGCCTATAAAAATTGGCCCAGCGTGGCGTAATTTGTAGGATGTGAGTGGCCTCCGTTATCAGGGTTTGGCAGTAGGGAGCCGCAGAACGTGCAGGCCCACAGCAGCATTTTCATTATTTGTTTGTGACAGTGTTTTCTGCACTTACACGTTCGGTAAGACCTTGTGTTGCAGAGCTATAGAAAGATACGCTGTTGGAGCTTAATTTTGGGGAACGCATGCAAAGTAATATTACTCCAGTGATTTCAAAGGTAAAATGATACATAACTGTAGTAATATGTGTTCTATTTAAGTCTTATGTTGCTTTAAGAAAAAAAAAAAGGAAGATAAAAATGGGACAAGTGTTGGGTAACTCTTTTATTCCCTTTTTTTTCAGAGCACACTGGAATTTTCCTTTTCTACGTAAAACACAGTCATGACGGATCACGAGTATGTTCTTTGCATGTGGAAGAAGCGTTTATGGCCAGCAAAGGTAAAGCTGATGTACAAACGAGGAAACATTTGTGGCTATAACTTAGAAATGGATGAAGTGGAGCAGTAAGTGAGAGCTCCAAGTAAACACATATAGACTTCAAAAAAGAGCTCATCTGTAGAGATCCTGATATCGCAACCAGGCGCCTTGGAATATCGGTCCGTTCTGTGCTGCTCATATTAAAAATGTTTTGATGTCAGATCTGTCCTACAGTCTCGCAGACTTGGTCAAGGATTTTAAACGCATGATTTTTCTCTCGAATATAGGTTTTGTGCAAAACTGGAGTGGCTGGGAAAACATCTGTTACTGGTGCAAAGGAGACTTCTTTTAAAGTTGAAATACTTGGCTTGAAAGAACAGTTAAGTATCCTTGTTACTGTCATATGTTTGCGCTCTTAGACATTAAAAAAGGAGTAATCCCTTTATCTGAAGATATCTGTGAAATGAGATCACTGATTTACAGAAGGATTCGATGGCTAACCCGAAACCCGTGGCCTTTTCAGAGCTCGCCATATACGTCATAAACAGCACACTGTTAGCTCAGGCTTTCTTCATGTGGTTTTTTTTTTTTCCTTAACTGCTGCGAACAAGTACGGGTTTGGGGGGAAAAAAGTATTGCAAGTTTATTGCCAGATGAAAGCAGTGTCATGCTGTCAGCAGTGCTTCATGCTGTGATGTTGTCAGTCAGCTTTGTTGTATTTTCAGGGTTCGTGTGAGCTGTGCAGATGCTGTGCCACTGAAGGAAGAATGTATAGAGAACATCGCCTCTAACTTAGGTGAGGAGATGTCAAAACGTTTGCTGCTTTGTGTATATTCTGAATGTAAAATATACACAAAAACTCAACCTGGTGGACAGTAGTTGTACATTTTGCTTGTGTATGTATTGAGACGAGTTTTTGCGTTTCTTTTCCCCTCTTTCCATTCCATCCGTAAGGTTTGAAAATAGAGTAAACATGGTCACAGCTACTTTTGCTCTTCCCTCGTGTAGCGCATCGGAAGGAATGGTGAAGAAACTTGTGTACTTGCATCAAACTGAGGCGTTGGAAGCTTGCGCTTTGTGTGTCCCTATGTGCTTTGCCTTAAGAATCACAGATGATTTAAGTGTTAAGTTGCATCTTAAACAAAAGATATACTATAAATAAAATTTCTCATTTCTTATATACAAAGAAAGCTTATTGCATTTATTGCATGTTCTTCTTCATCAGATCAAGGGAGTAATTCGAGCGAGGCTGTGGAAGAACTGAAATATCGCCGTTCTCTTAAAATTGCCCTGGATATTTTGAATCAAAATGTCTCACCCAGAGAGGTACCACCTGCAGAAGGACCAAATACTCAGCTAGCACAGAACAATGCAGGATCTCTCTCATCTCCCCCCTTACGCAGATGTCGATCGCTCCGTAAAGAAAAGTTGGAGCCTGAGACTTCTAAGAAGAAAATAGAACAAAAAAATAACCCCAGCCTGAAGACCGATACAAAAAACCAAAACCAGAAAGCTTCCTCCATTTCGGAGGAGAGCGCTAAAGCACGTGAAAGTGGAACAAGCCCTTCCAAATGCGGCACTGCGGACTTGTATAATACATCAAACTCGGATAGTCAAAATTGCGAAATACCAGAATCAAAATCACTACCAAGGCAGAAAAAAATCAAGCCCGGATTGCTGACAGAGTCCCAACCAGGAAATAAAGTCTGCCTTAAGCCAACAGAGGAAAAAAGTAAGCAAGCAAGCAGAAGACGAAGAGGTGCAGGATCACTGGTG